CACACACACACACACACACACACACACACACACACATACACACACACACACACACGAAAACTATCATAGAAAAACATGCTGTAACTGCTCATTAAAAGAGTACCACCTTGGTCCTGGGTACAGTTCCCTCAGGTATTTGAATATTTTCTTCTCTTTCTTTCATTTGTACAAACACTCCCACCCAGAAACATACAACATACAAATAGTCACATTCCTCCTTGAGTAGCCACAGTAGATACCTGATCTTTTAGTCCAGTATCTATACTTTCACCAAAATTAGGGTATTATGAACTCTTTTCAAAAGTATGCACATCATTACATTTGTGATATTCTAATCGACAAATTATCCTTTCAGCTCTCATTACATATTATTCTAAAAAGACCTAATTTAGTAATTCTTTCATAATCAAATAAAAGTCCTATTAGGCTATGACTAAAATGAAATAATAAAAAGCCAATGGGAAAAAGAACAGGGTCAGCACTCAGAGAAGCAAGGACTTTACCAGTTTCAGAAAATCTATGAGTTTATGGGCGTCCTCCCCAGTAGAGAGGTCTACAAAGTCCTTGGGGAGCCGGTAACTCAGATAGGGGCTGGGCTGGACGGTAGCTTCGCTGTTGGTGCAACGGAAAGCTGGAGAATCCTTTACAAAGAAAAAAGGAACATCTGTGAGAAATCTTCTTTCTAAGTCTATTCTACCACTCAAAGAGGCCCTACCCTACCAATACTCTGTTCTCTTCTATACTAAGTAAGGAAGAAAATAAAATTCCAGGAAAAAATAAAGAGAAACCAAGATTTGAAAAACATTTCTACACATCACTAGAAAATAAACATAAGGTATCTGAGGCGGGTGACCCCAAAGTGTTATGGTGCAAGTCACTGTGTGCTGTGGGTGGGTTATTGATCTAACAGTCCCTTAGGATCAGAGGCCTCAGGCTAGTTATTCCTGGCCTCTGGCCATCGCATTCAGACCAGCATGCTTCATAAATACTCCCATCTTCTACAGATGCACAATTAGGAAGACCTGCCTTACAGAAAAGTGAGTAACAAAGGCAAAGGACACTTTGCATTCTATATTCTGCATTTCTCATAGGTCATTTAACTTTCTTATTTACCTCTTTTAACTCCTTTTTAAAATGCACTTTCAAGTATCATTTAGCAAGTCCTTATTCTGTAATGCACTTGCTTAAAGCCTTGCATATCATGTTTACATGCTTCCCTGTGCCAAAGAGTATGAAGGCCTTTAGATTTCCTGGGTGGCACAACTGTAGGTGAGGGAGGGATGGGGTCCAGCAAACCCAGGACTGGAATGGACCATAGCAATGAAGCCAGAGAAGGCAGCCATCTCTTATGACAGAGAGACCAATTATCTGCCAATAATAACAAAACATGTAGCCTTGCTACACCTGATTCTAAGTACGGGAGATGAGCTGGTAGACAAGACTGGCAGGCAGCTCATACGCAAGCGAACAAATAAATTAACAAGATAATTTCAAGCAATAAAAAGTACTATTAAGAGGACAACAACAGGGTACTGCAGTAAAAGAAGAACAACATGGGCTATGTTAGAGCGGCCGTCAGGCAAAACCTTGTTAAGGAGGGGCCACCCGGCTGAAAGCATTATGAAAGCAGCCTCGAACCAGCTCACAGGCAGTGCAAAGATCCAAAGACAAGGCAGACACTGCAGCTTTGAGAACCAGAGGCAGGCCAGATCTCCCTGAAGTGGAAATAGCAAGGGAGACAGCAAAGGGTGATCCTCAGGACAAGGCAGAAGTCATTCCTCTTTAGAAGGGAGGCAGGGCCCAGGAAATACGGAAGAAAGGATTTGGATCACAGAGTGGCTCTTGTTCAAGATTCCTATTTCCGTTGCTATTCAGTGGCTGTGTCCCTCCTATTTAAAAATATCATGTGTGCTGAATAAGTTACATTCTCCTTCACTGACACTCAATTTAATGGCCCATGATGTAACATGCTAACAGGCATAAAGTTCTTCACCATTAATTTGACTAGCTAAATGTGCCTGGCATGGTGCTAAGCCCTGCAGATACATGAAGAACAAGAGCTACTGTCACTCTGCTCAGTCACTTAGACCAAGGTAGGGCACAGGTATGAAAACAGGTGAGTGCACCACAAAGGGCATCTGAGTCAGATCTAGAACATCAGGGCCAAAGAGGGCCCAGACAGAGCAATGAGGGCAAGAAATGGTTCAGAGATATAAAAGATGCTCACACTGACAACAGTGGTGGCCAGAAAGGTAGAAGAAACCCAGGAAGGGAAAGATGGCGTAGAACCCAAGGAAAGAGGAAGTGTAAGAACAGGAGGGCAACATGCTCAAGAGCTGGCAAATGCTCCTACAGGCATCATCTGCTGGAATTAGCAACAGATCAGGTCCCTGCAAAGAGAGCTCCTCCGAGTGGCAGAGGGTGGAGAGTGTATAGAGGGACGAGTAAGAACCAGTGGGCAGCAAGGAGAGATGGTCACGTGAGGACCGTCTGTGATGATCCACAACCATCGAGAAGTTCCAAAGGCGAGTTATACACCAGCACAAGGGAAACCAACATGATCCCTCTTACTTAAAAATGTGGGACTGTCTAGACACACACAAGCTAAACAGACACTACTGTGTGGTTTCACTCATGTGGAATAAAACAAAGCAGACAAATAAAACGAAATAAACCCTTATATTCTGACAACAGAATGGTGGTTACTGGTGGGGAAGAGGCCTAGGAGGGGGAAAAAAAGAGTACAGGGGGCCAAATTTTTGGTGGTGGATGGAAACCAGACTCAGTGGTGAACATAATGTAGCACAGACAGATGTTGAACTACAAAGCTGTACACCTGGAACTTAAAGAACAAACAAAACAAAAACAAAATCTTAAAAGTCTGAGAACAAAGTGATTACCAGAGAGGCCAGGCAGGGGGCAAATTGGACAAAGGGGGGCAACTGAGTAGCAATGGATGGAAACTGGTTTTGGTGGGGATCATGATACAGAACAAACAGAGATGGGGCTATTATGATGAACACCCAAAACGGTACAGTGTGAAACACCAATGCCATTTCATTTAAAGAAAAAAAAATTTTTTAGATGTTTGGAAAACTTGTTAAATGGTAAGGAGGGCTATCCCTAGGTAGCAGTATGTTTTGCCTCTCTCTAATTCCTGTAATTTTAAATGACCATGCTAAAAAAAACCCACATTTTTTGTTTAAAGTATAAAAAGCTCAATGGAACGCGCAGGCTGCACAACTGCACAGGTAGCGCCGCCTCGTTATTTAGTAAGGTCACGTATGGATGTGCGTTCTGCGAACACCCCAGGCCAGGCAGGGTCACGGTCAGTTCTCACAGACAAAGAGATAATTTGGGGCTTTCAGTAAATTTTTACAGGCCTTTGTTGTTGAACAGAGTACAGACCAGCTTTCTCCCTCAGCTTTCTCTAGCTGTCTTCTCTCCCTGCCCACTCATCTCAGATCAACATCACTTGTCCTCTTGTCATAGGTGTCCCCAGGTACACACACGCACGCCTAATGCTCTCTGGGCTCAGGTGTCCGTAATTGCAGATGCACGTGCAAGACCGCAGGCGCTGGTCACAGGTGCTAATGTCAGGAGGGCAGAGAAGCCTGATAGCTTCATCTACCTGATCATGGGTCAGCATGTTATATATCAAAATATAAACAGTGGCTATCGAGGTGGTAAGACTGAGTGACTTTAGAATTTTCTCTAAAGGCAGAATGAAAGCAATATAAAGAAAGTTTGGTTGTCACTATGGAAAATTGTTTGGAGGTTCCTCAAACTGCTTAATATGGAGCTTCCCTATGACCCAGCAATCCCACTCCTAGGTATCTACCCAAAAGACACAAAAACACTGATTGAAAAAGATACCT